AGGAGAAAACTACAGGGCATACTAAAAGGCAAAGACCACAATTTGAAGAGACAGGGCAAGCATCAGAACCATACTCAGATATGGCAGGGATGCTGGAATTATCAGACTGGGAATTTAAAACAACTATGTGTTATCTAAGGGCAGGAGATGGGTTTCCCAGCTCAAGAAAACAGAGAGAGAATTCACCCTTCCTCTGCCTTTTTTGGGTGGTTGTTGTTCTGTCTAGGCCCTCAATGGATTGGGTGATGTCAACGCATATTGGTGAGGGTGGATCTTCTTTACTCAGTCTACTGATTCATATGCTAATCTCTCCTGGAGACACCCTCACAGACACACTCAGAAATAATGTTTTACCAGCTATTTGGGCATCTGCTAGCCCAGTCAAGTTGACACAAAAGTAACCATCACAAATACACTCCTTGTCAACGTGATACCTATATGCATCTCCTTAAACATAATCTCCAAATAAAGACAATAACAAGGTCATAATTCCACCTGACATGATACAACTATCCTGGGTACAACTGAAAACGCACGAATCCCTTCTCCCAGAAGAGGAAGTAAAGACCTTCAAGGATGTTTACTCATCTTCTGGTATCCCATAACCTGAAAGCTATGCTGTAAAATTAATGGTCCTTAAATGCTGATATAAAGTTAATACATCTTATGTAACATGATGAAATAAAATAGCAAAGAAAACAAAGATATTTGCTTAATATACACACACACACACACAAACATATTTATAAAATAAGGAGGAAATGCTCATTACAGTTATAGTCCTCATTTCTGTAACTGGTTATGTGGTCTTAGCTGGTATTTATAACTACCCTTTTCTGCTACCCATTCTATTTTCCTCTTGTTTTATTAGCACCTCAGCTGGTAATGGTTCTTTACCTGGTGGGGTGGTCCAAACCTTCATTCCTGAACTAATCTGGCCTGGATTGGGATGTTGTAGTTTTCCATTGACCTTAATCACAGGACATAGTAATACTAAGAGAAGCCCTAAGGGATCTCCTGTATTCCAGACATACTCTTCCTTACCTCCATTGTGGAATACTACTCCAGTTCTTCTTAGTGGTCAGTATCAATCACCCCAGTCAGCACAGTAACTCCTTTCCTTGTCTGTTGACTCAAAGGCATGAGGAACCCCAAATGGCCAGGTAGCAGTCTTAGCTTCCAGTTCAATGGAATCATTGTTGTGTCTCCTGGTGGAAGCACTCCTCCCTCTGGAACTAAGACCTCTATGCCAGCAGAGCATAAAGTTATGGGAACAGGAAGAAAAATTTTGCTAGTGGGTCACTAGGGGTAATAGTGGCGCTACTCATAGTTCCACCCCTTGATCCCTAGACCTGTGAATCCTGGCTACTGGAGAAACAGTACCATATACTGGATGCTGATTCAGAGAATATACAGCCTTCTGGAGAAGCTTGACCCAGCCTTGCAAAGTATTGCCACCTAGCTGACACTGTAACTGAGTCTTCAAAAGGCATTCCACTGTTCCATGAAGACAGCTACTTTAGGATGGTGGGTAACCATCCTAAAGTGGTGAATTCCATGAGCATGGGCCCACTGCCACACTTTGCTGTGAAGTGAGCTCCTTGGTCTGAAGCAGTATTGTGTGGAATACCATGATGGTGAATAAGGTATCCTATAAGTCCACAGATGGTGGTTTTGGCAGAAGCGTTGCATGCAGGAAATACAAATCTGCATATCTGTTCCAGTAAGGACAAAACACTGCCCCTTCCATGATGGAAGTAGTCCAATGTAACCAACTTGCTACTAGGTAGATAGCTGATCACCTGGGGAATGCTGCCATACTGGGAGCTCAGTGTTGGTCTCTGTGCTGGCAGATTGGACACTCAACAGTGGCCATAACCAGGCTGGCCTTGGTGAGTGGGAGTCCAAGTTGTTGAGCCCACTCCTGGTACCAAAATCTGTGTTAGAGTTCTCCAGAGAAACATAACCAACAGTATATATAGAGAGAGATAGAAAAGAGGAGCTTTGGGCTTCCCTGGTGGCGCAGTGGTTGAGAGTCCGCCTGCCGATGCAGGGGACACGGGTTCGTGCCCCGGTCCGGGAAGATCCCACATGCCGCGGAGCGGCTGGGCCCGTGAGCCATGGCCACTGAGCCTGCGCGTCCGGAGCCTGTGCTCCACAACGGGAGAGGCCACAACAGTGAGAGGCCCACGTACCACAAAAAAAAAAGAAGAGCTTTATTATAGAAATTGGCTCACACGTGGTTATGGAGAATGAGAAGTACCACAATCTGCTGTCTGCAAGCTGAAGAACCAGGAATGCTGGTGGTGTCATTTAGTCTGAGTCTGAAGGCCTGAGAACCAGGGGAGCTGATGCTGTAAATCTCAGTCTGAGGCCGAAGGCCTGAGAACTGGGGGACGTGGGGGCCACTGACATAAGTCTTGGCGCCCAAAGGCCCGAAGGGCAGGAGTAGATGGATTTCGCAGCTCAAGAAAAGAAAGAGACAAATCGCTTTTCCTTTGCCCTTTTTTGATTCTATTCAGACCCTTAATGGATTGGATAATTCCTGCCTATGTTAGTAAGGGTAGATCTTCTTTACTCAGTATAGTAATTTAAATGCTAATATCTTCCAGAAATATCTTCACAGACACACCAGAAATTATTCTTTACCAGCCTATCTGGGATCCCTTAGCGCAGTCAGGTTGACACACAAAATTAACCATTGTAAGTACATATTTGGGGGCAGGGTTATATTGGAAATCTCTGTATTTTCCACTCAATTTTGCTGTGAATATAAAACTGCTCTAAAAAGTCTATTAATCAAAAAAAAAAAAAACCCCAAAAACAAACGCACACAAAAATAACACCAGAGCAAAGACATTAGCCTCCAAGCTCCATGGGGGAGACAGATTCTGTAGTTTAAAAACAAAACAAAACAAAATCCCATAAAGATGTATCAGAATCTCTGCTTGCTCCTATATATTATCTAAAATGTACAGTTGTCAGCAAAAAAGGGACAATACAAGGAGGCAGGAACCTGTGACTCAGAAAAATTGACTCTAGGGAATTCCCTGGTGGCGGTCCAGTGGTTAGGACCTGTGCTTTCACTGCTGAGGGCCTGGGTTCAATCCCTGGTCAGGGAACTAAGATCCTGCAAGCCTAGCAGCACAGCCAAAAAAAATAAAGAAATAAAAATAAAGAAAAGAAAAGAAAAAGAAAAAGAGGTTGACTGTAAGCGGGCTGGATGTTGGATTTAGCAAAAGCTTCAAAGCAGCTATCATAAATATGTTCAAAGAATTAAAGGAAACTGTTCAAAGAATTAGAAGAAAATATTATGAAAATCACTTAGTAAATAGGAAATCTCAATAGAGAAATATAAACTACTTTTAAAAATCAGCTAAAATGGAAATTCTAGAATTTTAAAATAGAGTAACTGAATGAAAAATGTGTTAATGATCACATCAGATTTGAGATGGCAGAAAAGATAGAGATAGCTCAAAAGTAGGTCACTAGAGATGATCCAATCCAAAGAACAGAGATAGGAGAGAAACGAACAGAGCATAAGAGATCTGTGGGACAATAGCAGATGTACCAACACTCACGTAATGAGAGCTGCAATAGGAGAGGAGAAAGAATGAGGCAGAGAAGCATCTAAAGAAATAATGGCCCCAGAGTTCCCAAATTTGATAAAAATGTTATCCACAGATTCAGAAGTCTCAGTGCCAAGTAAGGTAAGCACAAAGAAAACCATAATTAGACACAAAGTCAAATTGCTGAATGGCAAAGAGAAAATCTTAAAAGCAGCAGTGGAAAAACAACTCTGTACAAGGGAACAACAATAGGATTAATGGTTGATTTTTCATCAGATAAATGAAGGCTAGAAGGCAGTGGAATAATATGTTCGAAATACTGCAATAGAATTCAACCAAGAATTGTACATCCAGCAGAACTATCCTTCAAAGATGAAGGTGAGATAAAGATATTTCCTGATTAACAAAAACAGGATTTGTTGGTAGCAGTCTTGCCCTGAAAGAAATACTAAAGGAAGCCATTAGGCTGAAAGAAAATGACAGCAGATGGTAACTCAAATCCACAGAAAGGAATGGAATTGGAACTAATAAGTATGCGGATAAACATAGTAGACTGTATACACATACACAAATATTCACCAACTTGTGAATGTATAAATAAAATGTGATATATCCATATGATAGAAAACTACTCATCAATAAAAAGGAGTAAAACTAATTCATGCAACAACGTGGATGAACCTCAAAAACAGTACGCTACATGAAAGAATCCAGCCTGAAAAGACTATATATTGTGTGATCACATCATGTATCATGATTATGTAACTATATAAATTTACTAAAACCTTATCAGACTGTATAATTACAATGCATGAATGTGTGGTATACAAATTATACATTAATACAGTGGTTAAAAAAAAATGTTAGTGCCTGTTCCTGAGTGATGTGTATGGGGATAATGTTCATTTTCTTTTTGCTTCTCTGCATTTTCTAGATTGATTACATAAACATCTATTATGTTTGGAATAAAAGACAACACTAGAAGTAAATTTTTAAACAATAAAAACTGTATATTTAAAGTTCTTTGAAAATCAAAACTCACCCTCTCTCTCCACACACACACATACACTGAACAGAAACCCCAGTAAGCAGTAATCTCCATCAGATTTTAACTTAGCTAGAAACATAGTCTTGCGTTGCACTTGGGAGTTTAGTATGATGGTTACTTTAGGTCTCAGGAGAAGACTGTTCAGACATAAGCTTTCTTTTCCTACAGAAAATCCATGCATTTCATCAAGAGAATAAAATCAGAATATCATCTGATATACCATCAAGTTATATCTCAGACTTTTTGAGGCTTTTATGAGTGCTGGAAAGAGGACAGGCATGGGCTTTAAGGATGCAATTGTCTAATGAATTTAGCTGAAGCTGAAATTAGACACTTGTGAAGGCTAGCATATTGCCTTAAATAATTGTTTCCCTTTTTTGCAGATGCTGTTGAGATATATTTTATAAAAAGCATCGCTGCATATCACACAACATGGGCCCAGAGGATTATGAAACACTGACGACCATTGAAGAATTTTGCAAATGGCTTGTTCAAAATGGGGAAAAACAGGTAAATGTTATCAACTAACAAATGTAATTGCTAGATTGTTTATTAGATTGGGACAGCCTTTTTCATCTCATTATTCAGAAACTGGAGCTCAGAGAAGGCTCAGGTAAAGCCAGCAATAAAAATAGGGCTGGTGCAGCTTGCAATATTAATAAAGAAAAAGAAGTATTTTTCTTGTATCTTGAAACATGAGGTCCTTCAAATCTTGGACACATATAATCGCTGGTCCTGTAAATTTAATATTTTAAGTCAAAATTGGCTTTTATCTTTGGATATAGCTGATAGTTTTTATCTTTACATCTTTATTGGAGTATAATTGCTTTACAATGGTGTGTTAGTTTCTGCTTTATAACAAAGTGAATCAGTTATACATATACATATGTTCCCATATCTCTTGCATCTCCCTCCCTCCCACCCTCCCTATCCCACCCCTCCAGGCGGTCACAGAGCACCGAGCTGATCTCCCTGTGCTATGCGGCTGCTTCCCACTAGCTATCTACCTTACGTTTGGTAGTGTATATATGTCCATGCCTCTCTCTCGCCCTTTCACAGCTTACCCTTCCCCCTCCCCATATCCTCAAGTCCATTCTCTAGTAGGTCTGTGTCTTTATTCCTGTCTTACCCCTAGGTTCTTCATGACATTTTTTTCCCTTAAATTCCATATATATGTGTTAGCATACAGTATTTGTCTTTCTCTTTCTGACTTACTTCACTCTGTATGACAGACTCTAGGTCTATCCACCTCATTACAAATAGCTTCAATTTCGTTTCTTTTTATGGCTGAGTAATATTCCATTGTATATATGTGCCACATCTTCTTTATCCATTCATCTGCTGATGGACACTTAGGTTGTTTCCATCTCTAGGCTATTGTAAATAGAGCTGCAATGAACATTTTGGTACATGACTCTTTTTGAATTATGGTTTTCTCAGGGTATATGCCCAGTAGTGGGATTGCTGGGTCATATGGTAGTTCTATTTGTAGTTTTTTAAGGAACCTCCATACTGTTCTCCATAGTGGCTGTACCAATTCATTTTTCTCTTGATATATTATTTCCTTCTCAGTTTCCGGTCTTGAATTCTTTATTAATCAAACTTTTGTTTTCACATTAAAAAAACAGTTAGAGAAAACGCTTTTGATTGCTGACCTTTTACTTAGAAGTCCCATGAGTCTAAACTGTTACTCAAAAACTCAAAAACTTTATGTACTGAGTTCAGCATGAAGGCAGTGAAGACCTTTATTCGTCATGAGATCCCACGTGACTTTGACCTGACCAAGCCAACTTTATTCTTCCTCAGGCATGTGAGAAACAGGTGTGGATCTGACATGGTTTTGTTGGCCATGTGAAAACCAGTTTAAGAGTAAGTTTCTAGACACTTAATAAGTAAGAATTTTTTTTCAAGGAATGAAGAAAAACCTTTTTTTATTCCACATTTGAACTTTTTTTTTTTTTTTTTTGCGGTACGCGGGCCTCTCACTGTTGTGGCCTCTCCCGTTGCGGAGCACAGGCTCCAGGCGCGCAGGCTCAGTGGCCATGGCTCACGGGCCCAGCCGCTCCGCGGCATGTGGGATCTTCCCGGACCGGGGCACGAACCCGTGTCCCCTGCGTCGGCAGGCGGACTCTCAACCAGTGCACCACCAGGGAAGCCCGACATTTGAACATTTTTTAAATGATGACATTTTCTTTAGTTCTATTTTAATTGCCACTTGTAGAGGCAAAAAACCTTCTGGTGGTTTGTGACTTTTTTTTTTTTTTTTTTACAGTGGCTGCAATATTTTCTGTTGGTTCCAAAGATTAATGTAAAGCCACAGATTGACCTAATATTTTCATTTAGTTTCCAAGAAAGTACTTGGCCAGAATCTCATAGCTTATCCTTGTTATGTTCTGATACAGTGAACATCTTGACTCTGTGATAAGACACCAGTACCAATGCCTGACAGCTGTCTGCTTCTAACCGAGTGTACCAAGCTCCTAGACAGAGATGCAGAAGTGTCTTGAGTGCCAGGTGGCTCTGAATCTAAACCACAAGCAGGACTGTGGACAGGTCACCTTTACTACTAAGAAACACGCTCCATGAGGACAAGGGTTTTGTCTGTTTTGTTCACTGCAATGTCCCTAGTGCCTGAAACAGTAACTGGCACATAGTAGGTGCTCAATAACTATTGAGTTACTTTGCTGAATTTTATAACACATTTCCTGTGGGATAATTCCATTTTAAAAGGAGTTTTTTCTCCCAACCTTAAGCCTGAGATGAGATTCTCAGCCTGTTCTAGAGGGCCATAACAGAAACTCAGATGATTTGGGAATTGTGTTCCCATGAAATATAACTTTTTTTTTTCAAACAGAGCTTTAATCTGCCACTGATAAAAAATAAACAGGATCCATTGGCCAGAACTGCCATCTTCCAGTAATTCCTTAAAACGGTGAACACAAAGGGAAAGAGGAGAGGCATCCACTATATGTTCTCTAGGCCTTTTAGAAAACATGGAGTTATTTCTTTGGCCACATCCTTGGGGATCTACAGGAAAGGTGATCTTGTATACAGTAAGGGAATGGGCATTGTTCAAAAAGGAATGCCCAGAAATGTTACCGTGGCAAAATTGGAAGGGTCTACAGTGTTACCCAGCTTGCCGTTGGCATTGTTATAAACAAACAAGTTAAGGGTAATCCTCTTACCAAGAGGATTAATGTACATATTGAGCATATTAAGCACTCTAAGGGCCGAGATAAATTCCTGAAATGCATGAAAGATCAGAAGAAGAAGGAAGCCAAAGAGAAAGTTACACGGGTTCAACTGAAGAGCCAGCCTGCTCTACCCAGAGAAGCACACTTTGTGAGCACCAGGAGCCTGAGCTACTGGAATCAACCCCAATGAATAGCTAGACTATATAAGAGCAACAGAGAGAAGACTCAAATAAATAAAATCAGAAATGAAAGAAGAAACATCACAACTGATGCCACAGAAATTAAAAGGATTGTAAGAGACTACTATGAACCATTACATTCCAACAACTTGGATAACCTAGAAGAAATGGGTAAATTCCTAGAAACCTACAACCTGCTAAGACTGAACCATGAAGAAATAGAAAATCTGAATAGAACTTTAACTAGTAAGGAGTTCAAATGTGCCAACAAGAAAAGCCCAAGATCAAATGGCTTCACTGGTGAAGTCTATGAAACATTTAAAGAAAAATTAACTCCAATCCTCCTCAAACTCTTCCCAAAAAATTGAAGAGGAAGGAATGCTTCCAAACTCATTTCATGAGGCCAGCATTACCTCGATACCAAAGTTAGGAAAAGACTACAAGAAAAGAAAACTACAGAACAATATCCTTGATGAATATAGATGCAAACATTTCAACAAAATACTAGCAAACTGAATTCACCAGCATATTATAATGACCACACACCATGACCAAGTGGAATTTATCCCTAGGATGCAAGAATGGTTCAACACATGAAATACAATCAATGTGATACACTACATTATCAGAATGAAGGATAAAAATCACATGATCATTGCAAGAATACAGAAGAATTATTTGACAAAATTCAACATCTTTTTATGATAAAAGCATTCAACAAACTAGGAATAACAAAGGTCATATATGAAAAGCTCACAGGTAACATCATACTCAGTGATGAAAAATTGAAAGCATTTTTTTCTAAGATCAATAACAGGACAAGAATGCCTACTCTTGCCCACTTCTATTCAATATAGTCCTGGAAGTACTAGCCAGAGCAATTAGGTCAGCAAAAGAAATAAAAGTCATCCAAATTGGAAAGAAAAAAGTGAATTATTTCTATTTGCGGATTATATGATCTTATATTCTTATATGTAGAAAACCCTAAAGATTTCACACACACACACACACACACACACACATACACACACACACACACAAACGAAGTGTTAGAACTAATAAACAAATTGCAGGATATAAAAAAATTTCAGGATACAAAATCAACATACAAAAATCCGCTGCGTTTCTATACACCAACAATGAACAATCTGAAAAAGAAATTAAGAAAACACTCCCATCTACAAAAGTATCAAAAAGAATAAAATACTTAGGAATAAACTTAACCCAGGAGGTGAAAGACTTGTACACTGAAAAAATAGGAAAATCTACTTATATGCATGTTTTCCTATTCTGAAAAATGCAAAGATAATATAGAGCCTTGAGACTCCTAAATTATTGTCAGTGTTTCCTGGAAAGCAACAACTGACATCCTTTTTATGTTTGTTCTGACATGCCACATATGAGGATATTGATTACATATTCAACCCAGTTCCAAAGAAATGTTCTATTTATAAATGTCAACATAGTTAACACAGGCAGAGGGTGATGTGCCATTCTCGAGGGTGCCAGCAATAACTATACCTCTTCACTCCCTCTAAAGAAAGCACATTGGGAAATCCAATGAGTACAAGTATTGTTGTTCTATAAACAACTTCCAATGTATACTTAATTTTTCTCTAAATCATATGCTGTATAGTAAGTAGTTAAGAGTGAGAGTTGAGCTGAAAGACAACTGGCCTGGACTTTAAAAAAAAAAAAGCCAGTATTATGAAAGGGCAGAACTGCTACAGATTAAAGAAGACTAAAGGATTGTGAAAACTAAATGCAATATGTGATTCTTCATTGGATATTAGATTTTTAAAGTTATAAAGAACATTATTGGACAATTGGGAAATTTGAATACAGAGCATATATTAATATTATATCAATGTAAAAAATTTTGAGAGTAATAATGTAATGTAGTTATGTAGGAAAATGTTCTTGTTCTAAGAATATACATGCTTAAGTATTTAGGGGTAAAGTATCCTAAGTACAACTTATTTTCAACAAAAGTATATATGTGTATGTATTTATATATGTATATAAAAATGTTATCTATTACATGTACATATAATTTTTTAAAGAGAAAGCAAATGTGGCAAAATGATAGCCAATTGGTGAATCTAGATTAAAATATTATGTGTATTCATTCTACTATTCTTTCAGTTTTTCTGAAGGTTTGAAAAGCTCATGGAATACAGCCAGCATGCTCCTTCAGAATTACCAGGTGAATTAAAAATATGTACATATTTTTTTTATCCCCTAGGAGGCTTACAGACTGCTAAAGGCTTTA